CAAAGGAGTTTATGTGCTCATCGGATAGCCTCAGAAACTCTAGTCCGAACAACCCTGAAAATCATCTTCATCACGCAAGCTCCAACGCGCTCGAGTCCGCACCAATTCCCGAACTTTGTCGAAAGAACAGGAGAACGGGACTGAGCTTCAAGTTCAGAGGCGCCATAAGACAGCTTGGATGATAGACACATGAACGCTACCAACCCTACTGGCCATCGTACTGCATGCCCTTCTTTAGCAAGATTCAGTCCGTGAACAGCAATAGAATTGTTTGGACCCTGCCTTGAGAAAGGTTGAATAAATCCTAAACAACCAGTAGCCATAGAAGTAGTATAACAAGAATGGCTATGACCCCTTTCCTGGCTTGATCGTAGAAATCAAGAAAGGTTTGTGTACAGGGCAAGTTGGGGATTCGGGGTGCAGGTCTCTTTGTTCTGCACGAGGAAGCTTGCACCAACGTCCCCTGAGAATGTACGTTCAACTCAGCATTCAGCGAGCTGGGATTCTTTAACAAGGCAAATTACCATGATTCCAGCAGTCATTGGCATGACAGTCACCAGAGTGATCAGCGGATCCGATGTCATGGTGATGGATTCGGGAGGTCTTGTCTGTTGGAAGTTGACCCAGGTGGCAGAGGGACCCGATACTTCCAAAGGTTGAACCCTTTCTTTGCCTCAGAGGGAATGAAAGAATGGCCTTGGCCGTTGTCCCTGTGACGATCCAAAGATTTCTCAAAATTGGGCGTGTCTTATTGTGGGGTCCACAGAAGAATGGATGGCAAACCTGAAATACCTGAGTCCCCATAGGAATTTTGGCGGCCGCTAAGCTGATGGAAGCATCCAGCAGCTTGCACATCAGCGACTTCCCAAGAAACATTGGAATCTGTCAGTATCCTAGCCCTACGATCAAAAGGTACTGTTTTGGGCCTGCATGCACATGTATCAGTTGAAAAACAAGACACTTGGCTATGCCTTCTCAAGTTGGGCTGCTACCTCCTTTGACACAACCTGAATTTTCATGTCAGCATATCGCGAATTAGACAGACAAGGGGAAGCTTGGTTGGGCCTGATGGAACGAAGGCACACAATCCTCAGCAGAATACCATCGCAGCTCATGAATCCCTACCCTGCCGGTATCCTCCCTCTGACACAATTATGGAGCCCTGAAATTCGCAGGTGCAAGCAGGCCTGCGAAGAAAGCTGTGCAGCAATTCTAAAGCCCAACAAGGAGGTTGGGGTCCTGACATGGCTCTTGCTCTCCTAAACGAATACCAAACCGTACCATATTCTTCAACCTCCAAAAGACCAACTCCCCTTACATGGCTAAAATTCAGACTTCACTAACTTTGATACAGGAAGGGATGCATCGGATGCACTGTCTACAGGAGCAAGACAAAAAAATCAAAAACAGAAACCCCCAGTCCCAAACCCAATGTGGCCGGGCTCCCAGCCATGTCCAGAAAGCTGCTAAAAGTCTCCTGGCTTCACCCCAATATTGGAGAACCAAATGGAAAAGAAAATGGGAAATCAAGTGGAAACTGGGATTATATAGGGGACTGTAGGGGTTATAATCTAAGCTCCTAGTATCCCCCTTGTCTGTATGTGGGAGTTCGGGTGGTATCAGGTAAGGTGTGGGGCCTAGGGCTTCAAGCACCTCGAGGTTCAAACAAAACAGAGATGATGACCCTCAGACGCGTGCACCATGGGATGCAACTTTTTTTAAGTTCCTTAAGTCGCGCTGTGCGGAGTCCTAAAGTAAAAAAAAAAACTTTCTTTGGACCCTAGAGCTCCCCATGCTTGTAAGTGCTGATCTAACCAGAGGCCTGATGGTCATGGATGAACAGGGTTTGGGGTTCAGTAATGCTACTTCTCATCTGTAAAGTTTATTTAAAGCTGATGAAGGAACAAGATGAGTTTCTATCTAAGGTTCTACATCAGCCTGTTGCCAACTCACCTGACACACCTTTGTTCTTGCGAGCGCACTTCTTTATCTTCCCTGTGACGGTGTTGCGATTTAGGGTTTAGGGTTTAGGGCGTACGGTTCAGGGCCCAGGGTCTTCCTTGAACCATTGTGGTGACGTTTGTCCGCATCACTGTTAGAATGTCCGAGTAGATTTCTTTGGACGACTTACACTGACTTGCATTCAAAAATCGATTGCTGCCTTGGTTCCTGATACCGCCACAAGCCCCACAGTTAGAACTCCATTCCTCACCTCATGTGAGCCCCATGAACAAGCAGAGGGCGGGTCAGGAACGTCTTCAGGAAAGCTGTCAGTACTGTTCCGTTATTCGCTGATGCCTTCTTTGTCAAGGTCGTGAGTCTTGCTTCTACCCATGGCGCTCCTCACAGCCGGTGCACTTGTAGCACTTGCGCTTTGGGGCGAGCCCCTCACGAGGATGATGGGCGAGAATGTGCCTCGAAAGAGAGTCCCTGCTTGGAGTTGGGGCGCTTCGGGGCTTTGAGTCAAAGCTTCAGGTTTCGGGCTCGTGGATGGGGATTCAAAGATGAATGAAGGTTTGGGTTTGAGATGTTCGTTTTCAGGGGTTGGGGCATGGGGCTAGTCATACCGATGTACCCGTTGCTGCAGGAGTGCCTGGCAACAACTTCATCTTCAGCGTAGCCTTTGCTACTGGCCTTCAGCGCATAAGCTTGACAGGGCAGGGTAGCACTGCGCATAAAAGAGAGAGAGAGAGAGAGAGGGAGAGAATCCCAGCAAAGCCAGTTGCCGAGCTGCTCAACTCTAGATAGCTGCGGCTGTACAATGGCAAACTATGAGAAGAAAAGAGATGGCAACCGTAGTTTTGAGTGGTAGGATGCATGATTTGAAAAAGGGTAAGCCTCAGATGGGCACCCTTTCACATGAACCACGCTGCTCAAGCTACAAATACAAACGGAGCCTGCCACAAAATTAGGGATCTCTACAGGCCTTGGATAACCCTTCCAAGAAAACCGAAGGGGCTATCGGCTATCAGGGACCCTCAACATTAGCTGCCATGAAGCCCACGAGGCTCGGCAGGGAGAAGCCCCTATGCGAAGCTCTCTTTTTGCCGCAGCCCTTTTGTACCCAATCATGCCCCTTAGGGGCATGCTTGGGCCTGTCTGGCTCCGCCAAACACAGCGAAGCAGAGACGCCACACGCACACTTAACCTTCCGCTCACATGCCACAAAGCTGAAACCAAATGATCAGATTTGGCTCTTTCTGGAACTTGGGTCCCTTACATGCAATGCACGTATCCACACTGATTCAAAAAGCTTACCGACACGCGCTTCAGGGCTGGGGAAACGCTGCCGCTGAGTCAGGTGGCCAAGCCATACTTGATCTCCATCATCCTAAGGCTCACAAATCAGGAAGGGATCTGAGGGGGATACTGGGGCTTTGGAGGGTCACTCCTACACCTGCAGCAAGTGGTAGATCCTGCAAAGTGGCAGAAAGACCCATGAATTAGCGTCATGAGCGTTCTTACAACAACGACAGGTTCCTCGTTCATTGCAACACACTTCCGCGGCACCGTGTGACAACTCAAGCCCACAAAGCTCGGAATACTGCCTAAATTCTTTCAGTTGTTGTTGCCGCCGTACTGTGCGCATTACTCCAGTCCATTTGACAGACGCGAAGCAGCTAGCAACCCAGGCCTGCTAAGGGGCATGATATGCTTTAACGTCAGCAAAATGATAATTCTCATTCTGCCAAATCATGTGACTAGAATGCCTGCCTGCCGTAACACAAAAACAATCAAGGACGATAGCAGTGATAGACAGTGAATGTATCGGATGCTCGCGTCCGGGCGGCAGAGGTCTCCCCAGGACCTTGTTTTGCAGCTCCAGGATATGCTGCCTGCAACTGCTGCATGGGGCTTTCCCAAAGTTAGGGGGGTACCTTTTTGGGGTTCCCCATTATAAGGATTACGGTATATAGGTGTCTATATTGGGTCCCCCTATTTTGGGAAACTACCGTCATGGCATGAAGATCCTTTAAAGAAGTAGGTGCCGTGTTAGAAACCTCTTTGCCAGGATACGGAATCCTAATTCCCTGAAACCAAGCCATACTCTACAAGGATGCTGTGGGCCATTCTGGTGTCCTCATCTATCCCCAGGGTCCCTAAACCCTAAACTCCCATAGAGAATCTTGGCTTACCCAAGATCCACCTGTTCTTTAGCTGCTCGGCGGCCATCTCCTGTTTCAGCTTCTTCGCCTTCTCCTCTCTGCTGAACCCACAGGAGGGGTAGGAAAAGTGCGGGTCCCAGGTCCCTGAGTCCCTGATTTGGGTTCCCTGCAAACCTACTTTTCAGCAAATGAAAGAGTATGGAGGGATGGAGGGATCGTAAAGAGCTTGTGGGCCTGTTCGGAGTACGAGATTGCAAGGCCTTTGCCTATTTGGGTGATGATGCTCAAGAAAGATCGCAAATCCAATGCCACTAATTAAGCCCCTACCCCTACGCCCAAAACCCCCGATCCCAAGACCCTGAAACCCCCAAACTGTAATGCCAGCCTAGACGCTTTGAATCTTAAATCTAATTCCCCAAATCTCAAAAAACTTTCTCCATGAACCCCAACCCCTAACCATTACGTGCCCTCTCAAGAAAGATGCTGTAATTTCCTTGTCTGAAAGAGGCATTCCCCCTTACACATCGCCAAAGACGATAGGACCCCTGATGATGTCTGGAAACTCCAGTTAACACCAGTTTCCATTCCATTTTCCATGTCTTTTTCCATTTGATTCTCCACTATAGAGGTACTATCCCTAAACCCCCTAAACCCTAAACCCTAAACAACAAATTTTGTGGCGCTTTCAGGAAAACCCTCTCCTCCAGCTGCGTCGTGGCATCCGCCACAGCCCCCCCAGAAAAGAGCGGTTCTCGCTGACGCTGTCTTTCCACCATCCTGAACTGGGTCAGCTTAGGGCTTCTGGGGACCTACATATAGGGATTATGTTAGGGAATACATAGGGATTATGTAAGGATAATGGAAAAGAAGATGGAAACTACTATAATGGGGTTATGTAGGGCGTAGGGTTTATGCGTGGCTTAAGCATAAGGGTGTGCGGAGTGTGGGTTAGGCGTGGGCTTTTAAGGAGACAACTATCATAGGTTTGCTTCACTACTGCTCTCAGCTGACAGACTGCAAGCCGAGCGTGTCTTGAGGCATCGCAGTCAACTGCTGTTATGTTGCATTGTTTTCCAGTAGCAGGTGCTACTGCCACTGCTGCTACTTACTACCACTGCTGCTGTTGCTGCTGCCAATTGCCCACACCAGGCTGAACACCTGAACGAAGATCATATGAATTGCTGGGTTGACCCAAAAACTGCGCCTCCACCCAATCCCTCAAGCCTGACCCTAACACTAAAACCTACATAACCCTCCATCATTCCAACGTCAGACAAGCGACTCATCGCGCTTGCGGAAATACTCCCTGCACACGCACGCGGACAGCTTTAAGTTGTCTCAACACGTCTCCAGGTAAGCAGCGGAATTTCTTTGAGACATGTCCGTGTGGATTGGCAGCTCAGTGATGGGTGAAAAGCACAGAAAGGGTTTGGGCTTAAGGATTCCAGTAAGGAGCCTGAATCACAACGACCTTCAGAGCTTTAAGCGCTCCAACACGTGTACTGTTCTTATCGCGTGGCCGCAAGGGTCATGTGGCGTGTGTCAAGCTTGGGGCTTAAGGTTGGTCATGTGAGCTAGAGTCTAAACTCTTTGAGGGTGTTATGTAGCACTAGGAGTTTAGACTATAGCTCATGTGGTAGAAGCTGCTATGTGCATTCTGCTGGCTTCTGCTTACACCAAAGGTAGAATCCAGAAGGCCCGAGCATCCACCAGAATAGAAGTATCAGTGATAAGCAAAGTGGTCTGAGTTTTCATTCGCCGTATGTTGTGCATGTAGTAAGGAAGGCAAAAACAATCTCTAGGTTTGAGACACCATGGACATCCCTTTCTCCGTACAATCTCCATTGGTCTAGGCTTTGCACAATCCTCGGCATATTACAGAGCCGGCATTTGCTATCAAACCTGCATGCGCTCACTGTAAGAATACAATTCTGATGTAGCTGTTCCTTCGTCAAGAGACATCAAAGACCATCTATGGAAAGCCCGCAACCCCCTCAATCCTCATAGTAGTCCCTAGAAAACCCATTATAATAGCTTTCATTTTTTCCATTATCCCTATATAACCCCAATATATACCCTATAATCCACATACAACCCCCCAACCCCTCGACCCTGGTCCCAACATCCGAGGCCTGGCTACGGTTGCCATTGTCCGGTTCCTATCCTCCAGGATCTCACGCTGCCTCCTGAGGGCACGGTGAAGAATCGAATGCGGTCATTACAAGAAGCTCTAACATCCCAATTGGTGAATCGGCCTTGGCAGGTAGCAGTAAGCAGATATAGCAGCACAAGCAGCAGCAGGAGTAGTAGCACCTGCTGCAAGAACATGACAACTGCATCATTGATGGTGTAGTCCTCTGATTCTACAAAGCATCATACGGAAAATCGGCCCCCGTCCAATTTGAATCAGCACTCACCTGGGCATTTCTCCGATCTAAAGCCCCCGGAAATTCCTTGTACCTCTTGCACACAGCTGAGATAATCCATCGAAGCTGGAGAAATGTTGTAAGCTCAAATCCCCTAGACAATCCCTTCGCAGCCTTACACAACCCACCAGGTTGTTTAACAAGCAAGCGAAGGAAAAATATCTGGTGGCTTTCCCAAAATTAGGGGTACCCTTTTGGGGGTCCGCATCGCAAGGACTGTAGCTTTTTGGGGGTCTACACTGGGGTACCCTTGTTTAGGGAAACTACCATCTGCTGCCAGGAGGACTCCATGTTGTCCGGAGGATTCCGTAGGACCGCGGAGAGCGGGGATGTCGCTGTGGACTTACTGTGCCCGGCTTCCACGGCCTCCCTGAGTTTTTTGAAGATTTGGGGCTTTTGGGGTTATATTGGGGTTATGTTAGGATGATGGAAAATGAAACTAGAATGAGGCTTTGGGGGAGGGATTTGGGTGTATATAATCCCTAGAATATATAGGGCCTATATAAATCCTATTCTATTGTAGTAGTTTCCATTTTCTTTTCCATCCCCATATAACCCCCATATAATCCCTACAATATATGGTTTTGGGGTTTTCGGGGCAGAAGTTGAGAAGACCAGGCGGCCTCAGAGCTCAAGCACAGGAGGGATCAGAAGCATGCTGCACGCTGTGACGATTCGTGCTACAACTTCGCCGTGGCGAGCTGTTGTTCCCACTCTCATCATAACCTTTTACTACTCCGTAGAACCCGCCTACAAGTATCTGATTGACTGCATTCATCAATTGCATCTGGGGCCGCCTGATGCGATCCTTCTGTGCTTTCTCCAGGTCCTTCAGCTCCTGCCAGGTCTACTCGGCACCGAGGTCATCACACTATGACTTGTGACCAAGGTGGATGAAGGAAAGCACCACTTCAAGAATCGCACCTGAAATCCTGTGATTTTCGGGGCATCGGGGCAGGCTATCTAAGATCTCCTCCATGCATAATTTGACTTGAACCTATATCGCAATTAGACTTATTCTCATACTAACGGTCCTGTTACATGTTTGACGGTCTTATAGCTGTTCCTAATTTGATCATTATATGGTCTATCATACCAATGCAGCAGATGAGCATATAAGCCTTTGTGCAAACACCCCCTGAAATGTCCTTGGTTTTCTGCTCCACGGCTTTTGCAAGTCTTTCGTCAAAGGACGGGCTGTTGTGCAAGTCATACCTTAGACATACATCGGATGATGATAAGAATCATGCTGTAAGAGTGAGACGCAAGGTCAAGACGACAACAATCGCCAGCACCGCGACTATCATAATCGCAGGTATAGCAAAACTAGCAGACAAGTCAAAAAAGTGTTTTCGATCCAGCTATAAGGGCGACTCAGAAAGGGAGAGTCAACCCTGAAAACTATGTCCATCCAAGCCGCAGAGTTTGCCTGCAGCCAGGCTAACAGCAGGCTGACAGCAAAAGCATACCGCCATAGGGTTTCAGTATGTCTTAATATTCTCTCCTATCATACCAAGGCCAATAAAGCTTGCAACACACTGTGCCACTCTCCTCATGCACGCTGAGCAACCCAATCCGATTTCAAGATTGGAAACAGGCTACTAAAGCTCGTGTCCCATTCACTGCATCGCTGCGTGGTCTAAAATCAGAAACAAAGTAAGAGGACGTCCCCATGCGTGCCTCTTGTGACAACCTTTCGCTGCACACTCCTCGAGGTGTTCCCATCTCCTTAGCTGAGTCTGTTTGAGCCAAGCAAAATCTATGCAGGACCCTCTTCATCAAGGCTCCCATGTCATGGTTCTACAAGTTGCCATCAGGCTTTCTAGGAGTGGCAGGATAGATGCTAACGAAAACCCCCCAAAATCCGTCCCAACCTGACTTCAAGCAGAAAGTGCATGCCAAGACAAGCATCTTCTTCTCTTCTGCTTGAAGCTCAGCCTCAAACTGCGACATCATTTGGGCTAAACCTTTTGAAACAAGCGGGGGTTCCAAAATTAGGGGTCCTTCTTTGGAGGTCTTCAAATTAAGGGTTCTTACATTTTGGGGTTAGTGCTGGGGAAACTGCCACATAGGACCACTCTTCGTGGCGTAGCGTGGGAAATGTGGGGATGCTCGCTCCACTTGCTTCAAGAACTCGAAACAAAATCAACAAAAACTGTACCACTCGGCATCGGAGATGCTTGCTTCTTCCTCCTCGCTTCGGCCAAGGCTGCCTGGCCACATGTTCCCTGTTGCTCAGAAAGGTTCCAGGAAGGGACATGGAGGACTTTGGTGGGGGGGCTGCACAGGGATCCATTCCCTCCTTACCAGACGCGAGGAGTCAGGGTGCATGGAGGGATGAATACCTTCTAGATGCTGGAAGGTTGGTAGTACATGGTGGTACAGGTACACTATCGAATCTCCATAAAGGTTCATTCAAGCCAAATGTCTGGAAGCTGTTCTCAGGATTCCCACTCTCATCTCCAGCGAGGCTTGCAGAAAAACAGCTCTTTTCGTTTGGAGCTCTGCTGAGTGGAACTTCCCTGGCGCTTGTCTGGCCGGGAGCTGGATTCGCTGCAGCAGCTGTGTTGTCATCAAGTCATGGCCCAACCCTCAACACAACCCTAAGCCCTATAGTCCCTTTAAGTAGATAGAAGATGGCTCTGGGTATATTCTAATAAGATCCGAACTTTTCTTACTAAAAACCTGCATCTATACAAGCTAGGTAAAAACCCAGCGGGAGAAAAACCCTGGCAGCGGTGAGGTGAAATGCAAAAGAGTCTATCATACAAGCCCTGCACCCTCTTCCCAACCGGCCCGGAACCGAAACAACCAACCCCAAGAACCAGAACCAACCAACCAACCCAACAACCCACAGAGGCCAGGCAGAGGAAGAGGGCAACGAGGGCGCTACGCGTCTCAGCAGAGGTTCATAGCACGGGGCCGGGAAGGCAATGCAGGCAGGCAGGAGAGGGCAAAGGCGCCTATGACCAAAGACCCAGCAGGGACTACAACCATATTCTATCTACTTAAGGGGGACCATAACCCTAAACCCTAAACCCTATATACTCCATATTCGATCTACTTAAAGGGAACTATAACCCTAAACCCTAACCCCATATTCTATCTACTTAAAGGGGACTATAATCCAAAAAACAGAAACAGTCACTACCGGCCTTTGCAGCAGAGACGTCCTCCACCTTAAAAAGTGGATCCCGAGTGCGCATCTTCTCCTGAAGATGTGTCTTGTCTTGCCGCTTGACAGCTTAGGCATGGGGCTTTAGGGTTTTAGGGTCTGGGGTTTAGGGTTTACGGTTTAGGGTTTAGGGTTCAGGCGTTCAGGTTTTAGGATTATGAATTGGGTGGAGTTCCAGCTTGTTCCAGCTGCAGCGCTAGGGATTGGAGTCCACGTTTTAGGGGTTGGATTTTGGGGAATAGGATTTAGGATGCACGCTAGCGTTTTTTCGGGTGTGGGTTGTAGAATTTGGAGATTAAACATGTGTTTTTTCGGATTGAGTTTCCGGGTTCAGGATAAAGGATCAATATACTGCCAGGAAAAATGAAGAATAATGATGCGAGTACTGCTCCTTTCTACATGTTTTTCATACGACAACACAGCGCCAAGACAGAGCCTGTCAGGCGCTAGACTCTAGGGCCGCAGTCATGTCTCAATGCAACGGAGCTGAGCTGGTGCTGAGATCCAGGCTAGAATCTTGCCCCTCTGGATGTGGTAGCTGCCTTGGGAGAACTCTGCCGTCTGGTGCCCAGACAGGCGACAGTCAACACTCCTTAAACGAGAAAGCATATGAGCCACCACAAACATCGTACAAAGTCCTGCGAACCCTCGTTTTAGTGGGGCGACACCGGCACAAAGCATCGAACATGTGTGCAACATATTTCTCTCTTATCGAGGAAGCCTATCATCCTCAAATCTTTGCTCAACTAGTCTGGCATATGTAGCGAATTTCTTCGGCCCAACTGGCTAAGCAATGACACCAACGCTGCAACAAAGGCAAAAGAAGTGCAAGGTTCAAGGTGAGGTCCTCCTAGTGACCAGCTAATGTGCTGTGGCTTTTCAGTGACTGAAATCTACATCCAAGTGTCGAATCTTGTTGTCCATGTCCCTCCTCCGCTCTTCTAGCCGCTGGGCCTCCATGGAAGCAGGGGCTGCGCAGAGAATGATGCGAATACTCGTGGCGATCGCGGTAAGATTGCGAATTGCACGCCGTCTCTCGTTTCGAAGACAAGCAGGCGCACTCATACATCTACACAGCGACAACTGATAACAACAAGAGCTCAAATGACGCTGCAAGTCGTGCGAACCATCGCACTTATCAGCACTGCTGATAAGCGTGTTGCAATACGTAGAGGTGCAAATAGCACTCTCTGACTTCCAAGACCTTTTTTCTCCCCGCCTGCTTCTCAGCGGTCGAGAGCAAAGGCGCGGAACGGAATGCAAGCAGCGGCGAGTAGACCTGGCCACCACCAAGATAACATTAAGAGCAATTGCAATTGTAACCGTTACAAATGCTGGAAGTAACATGCACCACCAAACTGCTGGATCTTACATTGCTGCAGTTATGACGTGCCTGCTGCTTCTCAATGCCCTTCTCCTGAGAGGCGGAGGGGCGATGACAAGAAGTCCGAACACAGTCACAACAGTTCACTGAGCTTTGTGACACTTGCTTGCAGAAAAGAATTGTCCTACGGGTGGGTAGACAGAGATGAGAAACCCCTGCCATGTGCATACAGCGTATGGCTGTGTAGGCACGCTCCTGCATCGTTTACAAATCAGCTGCCGCCCGAGGCTCAGTGGCCGCTTTGATGACTTCCCGCTGCTCCTTCCTCAAAGCACCACCCATGTTCATCAATACTTGGTGTATAGCAATGGGAATGCACTTCGGTCAAGGAGGTCGTAAGACTTCTGGATTGGCAGCAGCACACAGGAGCTTGCGCTAACCTTTAGTGACGAAGGTATCAACGAAACATGGCTTGCAAAATCTCAAAAAGAATCCTGACTTCGCATTGCCACAGCTTTCCTGTGCTCCAGTATCCCCTGAACCCTTACATTTCTGGACCCTCACCCCTCTCCAAAAACTCCAAACTTACTGGTTCTTACTCCCTGTATAGACCATATTAAATATATATAGATATACACCCATATTCGCTACTAAGAACCAGTAAGCAGAAAGCCTCAAACTCCTCCCATCAGACCCCTCATCCATCCAGGTGGCTCTAAGAGCTTCATCTCCTGGATTTTCTTGGCCTCCCGGCGGGTCGGCTTCAGGGGATTTAGAGTTTAGGGATTGGAGTTTAGGGATTAGGGTTTAGGATTTAGGGATTGGGGTTTAGGGTTTAGGGTACATCAGAGCCCCTGGACTAAACCCTAAGGAATTCCCTCTGAAGCCCACTGTGAGAAGCACTTCTAATTCACGTACTCGCTAGATCCCTGGTATTTTCTGCTAGGGCAATTCATGGAAGAAGTCCTGCAGCAGTTCAGACCCTAAACCCCAAGCCCTAAACCCTGAGTCCTAAACCATGAAGCCTCAACCTTGAGCCCTGAAGCCTAAGCCTTGAACATCCCTGAACCCTCAAACCATGAAATCCCCGACTTTCGGATTCTGGGGGCCTTTTGCTCAGCCAGTCGATCCTCCCAGGAGGCCCCTGTACGGCCCAGAACCAGCTCCTGCAGCCGCGCTTGCGGTTTGAAGGCTTAACTGTAGGGCTTTGAGGTTTTTCGCATAAAGTCTCAAAAATCTAGAAGTCCAGGCAGGGATGGTTTGCAGGGTTGGGGGTTGCTTGGGATTTGGGGATTTCGGTTACAGCAGAGGCAGGGCTACTCTCCAGGCGCCTTGACGCGGCCCTTGACGTGGTCCTTCATCTCGTGATGCCATGGGGACAGGGAAGGCTCGGATTGGGCGCGCATCGTGGCTCAGCCCCTTTAGGGGATCCACGGTACGCCAAGCGTCTGAGCCAAAGGGAGTTTGTCAATGTTAGGGTGATCATGCCGACCTCCATTCAAGGACGCGAACAGCAAAAAGCAAGTCCTGCTCACGAATCTCAACGTATCCCTCAAATTTTGGCTGAGAAATGGTATGGGAATCAAGGTGCAGTCAAACAACAAAGCGCAGGTATGGTCTGATCAGGATATCATGGTTCAAGCTTAGCTAGGTAGAAGCCCCTCAGAGTATAATGGTAAGTAATAGCAATACAGCAAAAACAGTAGCAATAATCATCATAATCATAATACGAATAATAATCATAGCCATAATAGTAATAGCAATATAATGGTAACACTAGTCATCGTACCCTTCCTAACCCTCGACTCCCTCCACCCCACCCGCAACTGAATCAGCCGTCGTCAAGGGATGGTACGACAGAAATGATTGTAATTAGAAGTACACGACATCCCAGGGCCTCAGGGCCCAACAAAATCTCAGGATACTAAGGGGGGGGGAGGGGTCCCAAGGGATGTGTAAGGATTCTGAGTGGATTAGGTGTGTCCTTAGTGAGAAAAGATTCTAAAGAGAATGCTTTGAAGGATGCCCATAACATGAAAAGGCCCAAAGCCCCATGCGCAGGTCAAGGCACTTCTCCAAGGAGTCCCGCTGCTGGAAGATCTTGCCGCAGTCCGGACATTTTCCCTGGGGCGCACTGAAGGTTGAGATTCAGAAGTGAAGGGCTCAGGGTGGTTGTTGCAGGGGCTTACGCGGAGATCTTGATGGATTTACAAAAGTCGATGCTCCAACTCACTGTAGTCTATGCCCATACTAGACGCACTCACACGCATCTCACAAGGAGGATTCTTCTCTAGCGCTGTGTCGGGCAGCTTTACAAAAAACAGGTGTCCAAAAGGTTCCACAAACATGTGCAAGGAGTAGCTGAGGATGCTTGAAATGCAGACCCTCAGATTTGCAACTCGACTCCCATCCTCATGGAGACGTCCCCAACAAGAAGCACCATACACATAAACTGCGTAGCTGCAAGAGAGTTCCTCCCAGGGAACCGTTGGGGGTCATTTGGCTGCCCCTTCTTAACTCCCAACCGCCCAGACGCTGACTCCCTACACCCTGAGCAGCTGAACACCATCAAGGTCCAGGACTCCGACTGGAGGCAGCTTCTCGTCCCCATGGGCCTTTGCAGATGGAAACCGTTGCTTTTCCGGCTAAGCTAAGCGGGGTGTTTTACCAAGCTTTAGAGGTTGCGGCTTGTGGGGTTTATGGTTGTAGGTATCCTCATACTATCAGGCTCAGCACTCCTTCTGCTTGCCTACACTCAGCTCCACTTGGTGCGGAAAAAGTCCTGCTTTTGCTTGCGCCTTCTCACCCACAAACACATCATCGCCATCATCACAATCATCATCATGAAGTCCATACCGCACAAGACTTTAGCTTTAGCAGGAGCGCCCACCACACAGCTTGAAATCCACAAGCCAACGTCAGGTGCACGGATCCTACAACATTCCAAACCAGAACCCAGCCCTCAAATTTATGAAGCCCCAATCGACCCCAATCCCAAGGCACCCCTATAACCCCAGTATAACCCTAATCTAACACTATATAATTTCGCAGTTTCCATTTTCTTCTCCATTATCCCAATAGGGTCCTCCCCCTGCCCGCTTCAAGTCTTGGGCTGCAACCCCATGCACGATGGCCCAGTGCTGCTGAAGCTTCGCCTTGCCAAGCTCTCCATTGAGCTTCGCGGAACGGGGGACGGTGTGGGAGGTTGGGATTCCATAGTGACATTACATGGGGATAGTGGAAAAGAAAGTGGAAACTACTATAGTATTATTGGGTTTATATGGGGATAATGGAAAAGAAAATGGAAACAATATGGGAGCTACATATCATATCGTGCCAGACACACCGAAACGCAAATGGTAAAGCAAAGAATTGCTCCGCGCCTTTTTCCGGAAGCGGAGTCCGCAGGCTTTGCAGCTCAAGCCGTTGTGCACACCTTGGGCCCGTGATGCTAGGGGCTTGGAGCTTCGAGGCCTTAGGAGGCCGCTGATAGGATTTCCTGCCTTAGGGGAAAATGTGGAGGCTGCCCTGGGAATATGGCAGCACTCTGAGGACCTGACAGCTTGAGACCTGCCCCAGGGTGAGCAACGTTTAAGAAAGCTCGGGCATTCGCAGCCAATGTGCGTCATCAGCGACTGCTTTGTGGTAAAAGTCCTGCAAGCATGCAAAGGCCCTCCTCTTTCAGTCGAAACCAAGTGGGAGGGTGCCTTCTTGCGGATTGCTGCCTCTACACAAACTGCTCCGCTCAAGAACAAGTCAACGCCTGGCCTGCCGCATGATTCCACGCTACATCGAAATGGCCTCAGGAGTGAAACAAGTCGGTCACTGACAGCGCATAAGATCCTTCATGCTGACGACCATATCATATTTGAGATGATCTTTCCCAGCAGCGTTGTCATTGATAACTGCTAGCATCATCTCGTTGCTGGTTCTATCACGACTCTCGTTGTCGTGATGATTTCTGGAGACCCTTGTGGTTTGAGTATAGGGGATTTCTGCCCGCAAGCCAAAACCACAGAGCAAGTCATCAAGAACTGCCAAGTCTCAGCTGCGCCGTGCACCCAGTCTCAGTCATCGGCTTCACGTCAAGGTGTACGGCCTTGTGATCTTCCAAGTCAACTTTCCTGCGCTGGCGGTACAATGAGAGGGCTCTTGCCTCAATTCGAGAATCTCCGAATGTCGACTATACTTCGGGCAATTGTGTGCTAGACATGTGGAGGTGCCGATACTCTGTTGTTCATTGGCTCTACCTCCATTCTGAGGAAATGAGGCTCCGCGCTCACCAAGTCATTCAAACTGAATTCGGGAACTTCTCTTCATGCTGAATTGGGCCGAGCTTGAGGGTCCAGGCTTCGGGCCTAGGGTAAAAGCTAGCTGCACAAATGACCACACGGATCCGGTAGCACGAAATAGAACAAGAAAAGCTACCTCCCTGAACCAACCTGGATGGAACAAATCAGCAAGTGACGGTGCAAAAGAAGGCTTATTTCATGAAGAAGGCGAGACAAAGTACTATGCTTGAGCATTGTGGCCAGCACGACTAATCGCTGAAGCCAGGGCCCAAAAAAGAGGATCTTCCAGGGACTTTGAAGGACTAGCAATCACTCCAAGTCACCAAATTACCGGGCATCCCCATGTGGGGTTTTCCCAAAGTGGGGATACCTTCATGGGGTCGCAATCATAGGGTATTGGGGTCTATATCGGGGTCCCCCTATTTTGGGAAACTACCATGTATATTAGAACCGCAAGCCTTTTGGATCCTGATCTTGGTAGGTCTGCTGCCCTGCTCAAACTGTCCGAGCCTCTTGTAAGCTTTGTTGCAACCAGGATGGTCACACTTGAAAGTCCTCAGACAGCCAAGTAGACGATGAGGGCATCAAAAGTTCGAATGACAAGACATATTGTCAGTCAGAACACTACTAAAACCAATAGTAATAATGAAAGTAGAAATAGTAATGGTATACTATGATCCGTCTCTGTACCACGTACTATTTCTGTTCGCAAGAAGGAAGCCAAATTCTAAGGCTGTCGCTTTGCCGCTGTGTGATAGCTCACGTGCTTGTGATACCTTCGGACAAGCAAGGTCCAACATGCCAACATCGAGGTTTAGGGTTTAGGATGGTTTAGGGTCCCTGCAGAGCTGCCTGCAGAAAGAGCCACGATAGCGGACTCCCAGCAACAAATGGACCATAAATTTAATTGGCCCACGCCCTTCGGTATGCTTTAGTCGTTTTGGAATGCCTCTACCACCCCGCAGAATTCTTTTTCAACTTTTTCACGCTACATTACCCCCCCTAAAGCCTGTCAAAGCTCCTTGCAACAGGAGCCCTTGGAGCCTGGTGCTGGAAGGAAAGGACTTCGAGCAGTGCGGGCAGTTCCGGGGGTAGAGCTGGAGCTTCTCCTGGGTGTCGAGGTTCTTAGTTTAGGGCTTGGTTTGAATAGGGCTCCTGGGAACAAAATGAGTACAAGTACAAGTATAGCAATACACAGTAGACAGAAGCGCGATGGAAAGGGTGATGATGTGAAGCAGCAATCTGCAATCATGGGCATGAAAACCTTCTTTTCAATTTTAATCCTCCATTGTTGGAGGTAATCTTCCAAACCCTACATTTCTAATCCCCGAATCCCCTAAATCCCTATCCCCCAAATCCCTAAACCCTAAATCCCTGAATCCCTAAACCCTATGGGAATCTTCCAAACCTGCTCTTGCTAAGCTCCCAAGGTCAAGGCCTCCTTCGGCTCATTTGCCTGGCTGTGTCTTGTGGGCGTAGGGTAGCGCTACCCCATAGTCCCCTCGGATTAGGTAACACTTTATAAGGGAACATATGATATGAAGGGATTATATAGGGATTGTTCTCCCTTATCAATTTATTCCCTACTATCTTTTCTCAAAAGCCACGTGACATTCATTCATGTGCCACTTCAAGCACATATTCTGTGTACAAAGCAGGACGGCGAGCCCTCAAAACCCCGGGCTCATAGAGACCGTCACCTGCTTTCGCTGTGCCCTCGCCGCCCTCAGCTCTCGAAACGCCTCCTCGGCTCGCGAGTTTGGGGGTTTAGGGTGTAGGGTTCAGGGTTTAGGGTTTTAGGGTTTAGATTCTCTAGATTTCTTCTCGAACCCCTCATACATTTTTGAAAAAGCTGGCTTCAGCCTCGTTCAGGGTGTAGGGTTTAGGGCTTACGGCCTAGGCCGAGAGGAGTAGGGCTTAAGAGTCCGGGCTAAGGGTTTCGGTTTAACCTTTCACCATGGCAATAGCAACAATGCTAGCAGCAGGCGAAGCAAAAGAAAACGAAACAGCGGCAATTGCGCATACAACACTTGTAATAGTAGGAAAGGATGCAAAAAGCGTCGCAATAAGTACGAACAGGCATGGCAGAACACGGTGGGCTTAGCGTGTGCTGTCCATAAGCCTCAACCTGTTACCATGATCAAAACCGACTCTTTCCCGCAACTGTCGCAATGATCTTCACCACACTTACCACCAATATTGACGTGCAAAGACATCACGTAACAGCAGCTCATCCTCCCAACTGGGGTCTTTAGATTCCCAGCTACAACATGTCTAGTGCCAAGGGATGATGCATGCTTTTTGAGCGAGTAGCTACTGGCGATGCCTCACCCCAAAACCAAAAGCTAAACAGCCTGAACCGAACCCCTAGAGCTCTGAATGCCCAAGACTCAAAAACCTAAAGCCCTGTACTCTTGCATGCTTTGGAATTTGGGGGGCGCCTTCTTACCACATCGAACTTCCAAAGGCCTCTTCACGGGCTGCGAGCTGCGGTATGTCCATGGCCCCCAGGCCAACCGGTACCGCGGGCTTACCGCAGACCCATCAGAGTTCTTTGCTGCTTTGGGGCTCCAAGCATGGACATTACAGGCCTCTCGTCATGAATGCTTTTTGCCGGGGCTTTTTCTTAACGAGCAACTATTTGGGGTGAGACTTACTTGCCACCTCCAAGACCACCCCGTGGATGAACGATGAAGCTCGTTTACGGGTCCTTTTGAATGTGATTGCAACGGGAGTTCTTCGAAAACAGCAAGGGCGCACTGCATTGCACACCGGAGTTCTAGTGGGCTTTTTGTGGGCGACTTACTCCTGTGAAAGCCACTTCATGCTCCCCGCAATTCTCTGTGGAGCCCTGGAGACGTCGACAGCACAAAACTTCACAAATGAACATGCAGATTTCAAGCGCATGCGTAAATGCCAGGGTCCCCGAAGCGCCAACTACTAGCATCATGACTTCTCAAATTGTCGGATCCCTGCAAAAAAAGCCATTCTCACCACATGCCGCGTGCAACCAGGCTGTAGATTGCATAGCAAGGTCCAATCCGGCAACGCATGGCATCGACAACCTGAAGATCTGAAGATGCTTGCCGAAGCATGAAGCTGTAGGAGCAAATGTCTTCTGCATCTCTGTCACCACAATAATTCCATATTGCAATAAACAACATGGGTAATGGTCACGACTCCAGCTCGGTCCGTTTCAGAACTGCAACTGTTAGCCAATGCTTCAACTCGGAAGCCAAAGCGTCTGATGTGGAGAGAGAGCCATCCAAGTCCAAGCATCGCCTGAGGCAAGAACCCGAGAACACATGAGCACACCCTTCGCGAGCCTTCCTTCATCTTGTGTTGTGGGACAGAGATAGCATCTTGGCACATTTGGGTGCAAAGAGCGACGTGACATGTTGCACGGCAGGAGGAATCTGAGTCATGAGTCATGAGTCATGAATTATGAAATATTATGAACATGAAGATTGCAAAGCTGCCACCTTGAGCCCCAAACTGCCGCGGAAGGTTGGCCGCGCCCGGAAGAATCTCTCACGGCATAACAAGGCATGCTTGCTCGATCGACCCCTCCAGTTATGATTTCTGAACCAAGCACCCTTTGTCTGTCGCGCAACTGTGAGCAGGAGGTCGCGGCCATCAAACAATACGATTCGGAGGGGTCCGACGACATGATTGCAATCAGGCTCCCGGGGGAGACGAAGGTTTTCCAGTGCTTCTGCAACTCACTGAAAACCTGGTAAGGAGTAACAGCACTCTTGGCGTCCAGGAGCTCCACCCCGTGGCATTGAACATCGATTCGGACCCACGATGCACCAACAAGGGAGACTTGGAAGTCCACGCTCTCTGCAGTCTTCTGGGCACGGCACCCTCAGCAAGCAATCACTAAGCAGACGCAGCTTCGATGGCTCAGCGGCGCGCGGCGCAGGCCTAGCGAGGCCAGGCGGCGTCGGGGCTCCTGCGACATCTTCCAGGGCCATGAAGCTCGCATTCGTTGACTTTGGTTCGGTCAGCCCAGAAGTGCCAAAGTCGATGAGAAGGGCACGCGGGGTGCCATATGGCGCCGTGCTCTCTAAACCTTGGTGCCCTAGGATCTTTTCGAGGTGACCACGGTCAGTATGGGCATGGTAGCGTCAGTTCAAGGATGAGACCAGCAGTGCTCCCAGCGCATGGTATCCAAGTCCCCAATGTCGTAGCACGGCACTCAATGCTGGAGACCTGCAACCTCAGTGCCATCGAGCACTGCAGAATGAAGGACAATGCTTCGGATGGTGGCCATGAGGAGGAATATCACAACCAGCTCGGCAAACACCACGCCTGGCACCACAACCGCGGCGAAGACGAAGGGGCGCTTCACAACATCGTAGACGTCCATGCGCAGAGCCACTTCAAAGAAGCCGTCAGTTGGTTTTGCTTGCAAGAGCCGGGGCACTTGACCAGATCATGTAATCATCATGGCCTGGGACAGTCCCGGGACGCAACATCACGCAGATGGCAAGGCGCCCAAGTGATGCAAGCCGTCGAGGCTGTTCAGCATCACGCCGTCTCCGTCAGGAAAGCCTTCAGTACTTCAAAATGCACCCGTTGTGCTGCTGTATGCTTCGCCCAGGCCTTGGGCACTTCTGAAACGGAAGTCCGTGAGTGGAATGCGTGGGCGATGCGCCGACATTTGCCAACTCTGCAACCTGGCAAAAAGATCCAAAACGGGCTCACGAGCCTTCGGCTCTCTGTTCTTGTTGGCCCAAGGTTGCCAAGGTTGGGATCCTGGTTTGTTTTTGTTGGGACTCCCTTGCGCTGCCCTGAGTTTGAAGGTAATCCCATCTGACGAGACACAATTAACAACAAACTGATCAACCCCATCCAACAGAGGCAACACAAAAATGGACCAAGTATGGGTATCCATCCCAAAATTACAAACCCTAACCCTCACTAAAGGGAACAAAAACACAAATCCGTGGTCAGAAACCTTCGAGAATCACCGAGCTCGCTGTTGGGGATGCCGGCACAAAGATCTGCTAGCAGCAAGTCCTCCAGAATACCTCATCAAGATAAAAAGCAGATTCCCAAGAGTCAGGCGAAAACACCGTGCTCATGCGGCTGAGCCCATCACTGCGGCAAAGTCCCAAACGGTCCCTTGGTAAAGACAAAGTGAAACCAGCTTGGTGCACAAATTAAACCGCACAAGCCCAATGCCAAAAGCATCAAGGTTCTGACACGAGAAAAAGTAGTCGGCACACGCTTGTGCTTGTTGGCGCTGCTGCTGCCGCCAGCGGCGTTTCGCTTGCATGAGAGGTGTTGCTAATGAGAGGGGGCTGTGTATGAATGAGGGGTTGATAAGTTATCACCAAAGGGATTTAGCTATTTAAAATTGTTTGCACATCAGTTTAAGCCACCATTGCTAGCGCATGCCGCATGCCAACATTTTACGTTCTCAAGCATTTCGACCCTGTGACGGGTTCAGGGTCGATTGCAAGTGGATTGCAACGAGCCTTGGCAAAGCGGGCCCTTAATGCGTCTTTGCGGGGCCCTGGTGGCTCCTGGCAAAGCCAAGAACAGGGAGCCCTGAAATGTCACACGGCAAATTGGAAAGGCCTTCTCTATCTTTTCCTCCAGCGCCCGAAAGCGCTCTTCAACACAGGGAGGAGCCATCCCTTGTATGCAGTTGAGTTGGTGTGAGCTTGCGTGAACTTGCGCAAGCTTGTGTGAAGTTGTGTGTTGTTTGAACTTGTAAACCGTGACATGCTAAAATCTCTTGACTCTTGATGACACAAATAGCTTTGAAGTTCAACATCCAACTCACAGGCGAGAGTCTTCACATCTGCGAATGAATACTTTAAACCTGGCGCTGCAGTCAAAATTGCTCAAAGGCAAGTCAGACTTGAGCTTTGTCAAACTGCGGAAGTCACAATGGCAAAGAAACGGCTGTAATTCGGATGGTTATGTCAGCAATAAGGCTCACTCAAGCCAGAGGCCCGCAGATAGAAGGATTAAGGATCGGCGCCGCTCACTTTCAAGCAATACCCAAGGTTTCAACCCAACCTCCAGTTTCAGTTGCTAGCGTCAAATTCATTCATGTCTTCATTTGAAACCACTGTGAACACAGTATGACTAAGTTGTGACCATCGGTACCGCTCGACGGTGGGGATGCTCTTTTCGGGACCTCAGGGATCGTCTGTTCAACTTGGGAATAGAATGAATGGACATAAATACCTCACAAAATCATATGGAATCATATGAAATCTGCACATTTTGGGGGGTGGCTCAACCTCCCCAACTCAGTTTGAACCGAATCTAGCGGAGCCGGAAAGATGTTGAGGCCACAGCGATCCGAGTGAGCCACAGAGAGGCCACGAAGGCAACCAACGGCCTAAAAATGACGGAGCCGGAACCAAGTTCATACGAAAAGATCATCCAATGTCTAATGGCATATCGTCATCGTCATATCGTGTTGTTGAGTTGTGGCTAAAGGTCCGAAAAACGATGCGAATCAACACCCATCCCAGGTCTGAAAACTGTGAATTCAGAAACTCACAAGTGGAGAAGGCCGCCTCCTCAAACCAACTCAAGGCTGCCGAAAACATTTCAACAAGAATCCAACACCCTGCTCCAACCGAGCATGTCTTGGATCCTGGGTATACACTCCGTCACCATGTTCGCAAACTTGCGTATGTTTTTTGGTGCTCGGAACCCATATGGACGACATACCTATGAAAGTCCAAATATCTTCCCGATATGCCGGAACTGCTAGATGATTTCATGCTGAGATGGAGGATGGCGCCATCTCAATCGCATCTTTTTCAAACTTTGCTGCGCAGCCACTCTTGCGACATTGGCGCAACCCTTCAGTGAATTGTGAAATGCCACCACCGGCCTGGGTCTATCCTGCCACCCCTCTGGGCAGGCAAATGGCAGGGGCCCGGGCCAGCCCATAGTGAATTGCATGGCATGGATCCTTGGGGCATCGATTGGAACATTTCAAGTTTGCAAGCAATCTGTATCAAGAAGCAAATAGCAACGGCACAATACGGAAAGATTGCCTCAAGCTGATATTGGAACAAACAAACGACAGGAAACCTCAAGACATATCGAGGTATTTGGAGGACCCATTTGCCAAAGTATGTGTGTACAGCTAGATGAATTTCAACATGCTCAACTTGAAGCATGCCGTTTCCTTCTTTGTACCAATCTGCACTGAAGAACGGGAAATTTCGTTGCACTAGAATACCCAAACCTACCAGGTGAGTTAAATCAAAGTGATAAAACGATATCCTTGCCATTTTAAATCAGTCATTGCTAACAGCTCCGGGCTGCACTGGCTCATGACTTGGTCACAGTGAGTGTTCTCGTGACAAAGGTTGGTGTTTCTCAGCAGCAGCAAAAGAAGCTTTGCGCCTGGACATGAAACGCTCAGAAAAGCCAAAGAACACTGAAGACCAAAGCAACCAGCCTCCAATGCTGCTTCCAACGCTTCGAGCTCCACCTCCAAAGCCTGTTCCACAGCTTCC